TATTACCAATACAAGTTCTAAATAAGCGGATTTTCGGCCCTCGCTAATGCATACATATGTATATAAGTATGTTCAAATTTGAATTGATATGGTAAAGTAATTTAGCCCTGGTTTTTATGAGAATCCTGCCTCTGTCTAGCCGAATTCCCTTTTTCCAACGCTGTAGTGGCATGCACAATCAACAGCAAATCAATGATGTACACTTGTATGTATGTCTATTTGTTGGGCTTCATGGTAATTCGGCACATTGTTTGCGCGAAGTTGATAATTTAGCAAGTGCATTAACTACATATACAAACCAGGCTATACTTAGTAAATTTTTTATGTAAAATACTTCCAGATAGTTGCTTCTCCATACTCAAATGCAATGTAGTTGAAATATACTAAGGAACCATCATAAAATTAGGACTATTTTGGGATTTTTAACTTTTTGATATTTTCTTCCCCAACTTTGACTATCTCGGGTGAAAAAAAATGTACTGAGCTATAACTTTACATTACATAAAAAAATTGCTCATTTAATAAAGATTTCAGAAAGGTGCTACTCTTACTGTTTCGAATAGAAAAAAAAGTTATAGCCGCTTTTGTGGGCAAAGGACTGAGACACGCTAGAATGTATTTAATAGATTTAAATTTAAGTTGCTCTTGTTACCGACCAATGAGATGCTATATAGTACAATGGTACATTATTACCTGCTCCTGACACTATTTTATGTTACTTACCGGAATTCGGACTAGAGTCTGTAACAAGGGCTATATCTAACAATATTTTTTGTGAAGGATGGGTTCACGTGAAATAAAATGTACATGAGTTGTTTGAAGACAAATTTATTCATTTATTCATAAAATATGCTCAAATTGGCGACCTTCTACTCTAATACAAGCTCGGCACCTTTTAAGAAAATAAGCTTTTAGAGATCTTAAACTCAATTGGGCTATCTCAGCAGCAGCTCCATTTATTTGTTCTCGCAAATGCTCTTCGTTTTGAATTGTTTTTGAATAAATTTTGTCCTTAAGACAGCCCCAGTAGAAAAAATCTAATGGATTCAGGTCTGGCGATCGAGCGAGCCACGTGATTGGCCCGTATCGTCAAATCCATCGACGAGGATAAGTTTCGTCTAAATGAGCTCTTACTTCACGCCCGTAGTGAGCAGGGCACCCGTCATTTTGCAGCCATAGTCTCCGCCGCAGGTTCAAGGGTACATCTTCTAAAAGAGTTGGAAGCCGTTCCTGAAGGAACTCTAAATAACTGTGAGAGTTGAGCGTTGGCGGCAGTTCCACAGGTCCCAATATCTGACAATTAAAAAAACCGCACCATACATTTATTTTGTACCGGTACTGCGAACGATCTTCTTTCATTTCGTGAGGATTGTCTATATGCCAACTGTGAAGGTTATGTAAATTAAAATAACCATCACGTTTGCATGATGATACATCGCTCCAAATTATTTTATTAAAAAAGTTGGGGTCTGATTCATGTATTAGCAACATTTCACGGCAAACTCTAACCCTCGACAGGTAATCTCTTTCTTGTAGAGCCTGAACACGTTGAATGTGGTAGGGATGAAATCGATGGTATTTTAAAGCTTTGTGAACTGTAGTTTTTGGTATTCCCGTCCGTCTTTCCATCATTCTCGCTGAAGTCGATGGACCTACATAGCTCCACTTCCTCTAACACAATTTCAACATCTACTGTTGCAGGACGTCCTGTTTCGCGCCACGCCTTCCAGGTATGCGACCTTAAAAAAGTGAAAAA